GCCTCCCAAGTAGCTGGGACCACAGGCGCCCGCCACAACGCCCGGCTATTTTTTGGTTGCAGCCGTCGTTGTTTGGTGGGTCCGGGCTGGGGATTCGAACCCCCCACCTTAGGTGTACGTGGTTGGCGCCTTAGCTGGTTGAGCTATAGGCCCTGAGCCCCCTGTTTAATTTTCTAATCACAATCACTTAAATTATCCCTAAGAAAATGTAGGGTTTCTCTACAGCTATTGTCTTCTTTTCAGCCTCCATCAGAATTGCCCTTAATGCTCCATTCATGGCAATCTAGGCTTTTTCTAGCCTGCTCCTCCTAATTCTTCCAACCTCTACCCATCACCCCGTTCCAAAGCTGTTTCCACATTTTCAGGTATTTGTTGTAACAGTTGCACTTCTTTTTTTTTTTTTCGTAGTTTGTTTCATGCTTCTGTAATAGACTACCTGAAATTGGATAATTTATGAAGAACAGAGATTTATTTTTTACAGTTCTGATAGCCAGGAAGTCCAAAATTGAGGGACCTGCATTGGTAAAGACCTTCTTGCTATGTCATAAGCTGGTGAATTGTCATTACATTGTGAGAGGAAGAGAGAGTTTAACTCACATTTGTAACAACCCACTCTTGTAACAACATTTGTCCATTTGGTTTGTTTTTGTTTCTGTTTTTGTTTTGAGACAGTTTCACTTTGTTGCCCTTGGTAGAATGCTGTGACATCACAGCTCACAGCAACTACAAACTTTCTGGCTCACCTATTTCTCTTTCCTCAGCCTCCTGAGTAGCTGGGATTACAGGCACCTGCCACAATGCTGGGCTATTTTTAAAGACAGGTCTTGCTCTTGCTCAGGCTGGTCTCAGATTCCTGAGCTCAGGCAAGCCACCTGCTTGGACCTTCCAGCATTCTAGGATTACAGGTGTGAGCCAACCCACCACCCCAACAATCCACATGTGAGGGTAGCGCTCTGATGACCTAATTGCCTCTTAAAGGACCCACCTCTCAAAACTGTTGTATTAGAGATTTAAGGTTCTAACACATGAACTATGGAACATGTTCAAATCACAGCAAGGCCTTTGGTCAAGAGTAACAGAAAGATTTAAATATCTGGGATGTCTGTTCTCAATGGTTACGGCACTGGCCACATGCACTGGGGCTGGTGGGTTAGAACCTGTCCCAGGCCAGCTAAACAGCAAAAACAAAAATAACCGGGTATTGTGGCGGGTGCCTGAGGTCCCAACTCCTATGAAGGCTGAGGCAACAGAATCACTTGAGCCCAAGAGTCTGAGGTTGCTGTGAGCTTTGATGTCACATCACTCTACAGAGGGCAACAAAGTGAGAATTTATCTCAATAAAAAAAAGAAAGAAAGAAAAATTTAAATGTCCTGGCATTACATGTTGGCCTTCCAGTGGCCATTCAGTAAGCACATATCCCAGCTTGAACAGGGAGACATGAATCTGCTGCTCCTACCATCACTTTCCTTCCTGCTGGGCCCATAGGTGGTTCTATGTTTTTTGTTTGTTTGTTTTGAGACAGAGTCTCAAGCTGTCCCCCTGGGTAGAGTGCTGTGGCATCATAGCTCACAGCAACCTCCAACTCCTGGGCTCAAGCAAGTCTCCTGCCTCCGCCTCCTAAGTAGCTGGGACCACAGGTGCCTGCCACAATGCCCGGCTATTTTTTGGTTGCAGCCATCATTGTTGTTTGGGGGGCCCGGGCTGGATTCAAACCCACCATCTTAGGTGTATGTGGCTGGCGCCTTACCCACTTGAGCCACAGGCTCTGAGCTGGTGGTTCTAATGTTTAAAGTTAAGTATTTCCTATGCAACATAGGGACTATGAAGTCAACCCAATTGCTTCATTGATGGTCAGCCAATGAAACAGCAATCTGTTCCTTTACTGGAGGGGAAAACTCAACAAGGTAAGACATGGCTTAGAACATGGAACATGGTTACATAGAACCGTCTACATCATGGTTCCTTTCTAATTTTTTTTTTTTTTTTTTGAGATGGAGTCTCACTTTGTCACCCTGGGTAGAGTACCATAGTATAGCTCACAGCAACCTTGAATTCTTGGGCTCAAAGTGATCCTCTGCCTCAGTTTTTCATTTTCAGTAAAGACAGGGTCTCACTCTTGCTCAGGCTGGTCTCAAACTCAAGAGCTTAAGG